GGTGGTGGTAGTAGTAGTAGTAGTAGTGGTAGTAGCAGTAGTAAGTGAGGACTCTAAGAGTAGTGAGGACTCTTGAGTAATATTTCGGCAGTGAAGTTTCTGTCAGTGAGGACTTCTGAGTAATATTCTCGCAGTACGGTTTCTTTGCTGAGGTCCGCTTAGGGAGGACTGTTTAGTAAGAGTCCCGTAGGAAGGATTCTTCATTGAGGCTCTCGTAGTGAGGATTGTGAAGTAATGTTCCCATCGTGCGTATCACTATGGAGGCAGACTGTGTAAGGACCCTTGAGTGTTACTTCCATAGTGCGACTCTTGGGTAAGAGCCCGTGAGTAAGGATTCCTCCTGTAAGGAGTACGGACTACTCTTTCAAGTGTTCGCAGCACAAACTCCTGAGCAAGGTTCCGGTAGCAAGGATTCAGGAGTAGGGCTTTCGGAGTAAAGGTTCCGGAGTAGCATTGCAGCAGCGAGGCTTCTTGATTAAACTTCTCTTAGTAAGGACTCAGGAGTAATAGTCCCGTAGTAAGGATCGTTCTTTCCGGTTTTTTAGAAAGGACTCTGGAGTAAGAGTCCCGTAGTAAGGAGTTACACTAAAGTGTTCCTGATAAGGACTCCCGAGTAGGACTCCCGTCGCCAGGGTTCATGTTTAGGGTTTTTGTAGTAAGGACTCTTGAATAGCATTCCTGCAGTAGGGCTTCTGTATTGAGGTTCTCTTTGCGAGAATCTTGAGTAATAGTTTCGTAGCAAGAGATTTTTCCTTTGTCCCAGATTTTCTTCTTAAGGGCTCGTGAGTAATATTCCTATCGTAAGGATTGTTCATTCAGGTTCTTTCAGTAAGAACTCCGGAGTAAATATTCCCATCGTATGGATTTTCACTCAGGTTATCTTAGTAAGAAGTTTTGAGTGATATTCGCAACGTAATGATTATTCACTAAGGTCTTCTTAGTAGAAAACTCTGTGGGTAGTACTCCCATCGTAATGATTATGCATTCAGGTTCTCTGAGTAAGGATTCTTCAGTCATATTCCATTAGCAAGGCTTCTTCGCGAAAGTTCACTCAGTAAGAACACTTGAGTAAGAGCCCCAGAGCAAGGCTTCTTTGTAAGGTTTTGCGAGTAAGGACTCTGGAGTAAGAGTCCCGTAGTAATGCGTTTTTTTGTTGCAAAGTGTTGGCAGTAAGGACTCTTGAATAATAGCCCCGTAGTAACGATTCTTAACCAAGGTCATATTAGTAATGACTCTTGATTCATACTCCCATCGTTCGACTCCTCAGTAAGATTCCCTCCTCCGTCAGTGAGGACTCTTGAATTAGATTCCCATGTTTAGAACTCCTTTTGCAAGCTTCCGTCAGTGATGGCTCTTCTTTCGTAAAGTGATGGTAGTACGGACCTTTGAGTAATAGCCCCGTAGTAACTCTCCATCACGGCCATTTTAGGAAGGACCCCTCAGTTCATATTTCCATCGTAAGAATTCCTTGGTAAACTTCCTTCAGCGAGGACTCTTGAATGATATTTCCATGCTACGAATTCCTTAGTCAGTTTCCGTGAGTGGGGGCTATTGAGTTATATTCCCAGGGTAAGGATTTTTGGGTAAGCTTCCTGTAGTGAGAGCCCTTGAATTATATTCACCATAGTGAAGGTTATTCCCATGATAAGATCCTCGTGGTAAAAGCTTATTTACTAAGGTGCTATTAGTAAGGGCTCTCGAGTACGAGTCCCGCGGGAAAGTTCGTCATACATATGCTTGTAGTGAGGGCTCTCGAGTCAGACTCCCTTCGTCAGGATTCATTATTTGGGTTCTCTGAGTGTGGACTCTTGAGTAAGATTCCCGCAGCAAGGCTTCTTTATTCAGTTTGCCAGCGTAATCATTATTTAGTCAGGGTTTCTTAGTGAGGATTCTGGATTACGGTTGCCGATTAAGGATTCGGTGGGAACGTTTTCTCATAAAGGGACTCCTGACACATATTGTCTTTGTCCGGATTCTTGAGCAAACGGGTTCATTAGAAGGGAGTCCTCACCATTCCCATCGGAGGCCGGCCTGGAAGCCTGTACGATGCGATGCGGTGCCTTCCCCCCCCCTTCCCCAGAGGGGGCGTCAGAAACCCAGCATACCTCCTGTAGGGAGCGACGGGGAAGCTCGCCCCATTGGAAGGGGCTCAGAGAGCCGGCGTTCCCTTGTTGTTGTTGAACATTATTTATTCTAAAGAATAATTATTGTTGGGCCCCCTGGTGCGCGCCCCCCCTGCGCCGCCTAGGCCGCAGCTACATTTTCATCATTTTCGTGAGGAAGCCTCAGGTAAAACGATGTGATCCAGATCCGGTTGTTTTGTTGTAATCCGTTTTCCCTTGCAAAAAACACTATAAAATGACATTTCTTGTTCTAATATAATCAAATTTCAAGAATCCCTTGCAAAAAATAAGGTAAAGTGGACATTCGCGCGCGCAAGACGAAATCCTTCCAAAAGCTTAGTGTTCGGAGCGATTTTAACATAAAAACATCAAAAAACCAATGGTTTTTCAACAAAAAAATGTCAAAATCTCATCCCGCGCGCTCTTGCGGATTCGTAGGAAACCCAACACTTTTTAAACATTTCTGTCAAACGGGCTTTTGCGAGCAACTTTTTCGAACTTCTGCGACAACGGTTGCGCACCTGCCAGGGCCATCATCCCTGTCAAATAATACCATGCGGGACACATTCGTTTTTTCTTCGCGCGCGCACGCCGTCGTCGTCGGCCGCGGGGCCCTGAATAGTAGCCACGGTCGTCCGCATGCCACGAAGTGAAGTGTCCGAACGTCATAGGGCGGGAAGCTGGGTGTGGGTGGTGGCGAAGAGTCGTTTGGAAATTTGGTAGAGCTTGAACCGGCCCCCCCACAAAGTGGGGGTATTGCCCGCCTCCTATGAAAACCCTGGCACTGGTGAGAACGGAGTGTCCCCACGTGCTAGTAATTGTTGTTGTTGTTGTTGTTGTTGTTGTTGTTGTTGTTGTTGTTGTTGTTGTTGTTGTTGTTGAGTTGAAGAACAATTATTGTTGACCCCCCCGCCGGTGCATATTCCCTTTTCTTAGTCAAAGAGTGCCCCTCGACACTCGCACCATTTTTTTGGACTGGGAAAGTCTTGATGCTCAAACTGTGCCCCTGGCCCCGGGTTGCAACAACAACGGCTACCGCCTGAGACTTCTTAGCAATGTAGCCAGGACCCCCGCTCCCGCCCAAGATTTCCTCGCATTTTATTGCGGAATCGCGCTCTCGCTTGGGATTTCCTTACAATTTATGATGATTTTTTTCTCCCGACGCTCCGGGCTCGTGCTCTAGCTGGAGACTTGCTTGCAATTTACTGACGAATAGCGCCCTTGCGTTGGAATTGCTTGCATTTACTCAAGCGCCGCGCTCCCGACACCCAGGAACCCAGGAGTCGCGCTCACGCTTTGGAATCCCTCACAGATTACGTAGGAATCGCGATCTCGCTGCCCTTCGCGGCCCCCTTGCAGCCCTTCGTGGCCCCGTTGCAGCCCTTCGTGGCCCCGTTGCGGCCCTTCGTGGCCCCCTCGCTTTGTTTCGTGGCCCCGTTGCAGCCTTTCGTGGCCTCCTCACTGCCCTTCGTGGCCCCGTTGCAGCCTTGGTGGCCCCCTCGCTTTGTTTCGTGGCCCCGTTGCAGCCCTTCGTGGTCCTCTCGCTGCCCTTCGTTGCCCCGTTGCAGCCCTTCGTGGCCCCGTTGCAGCCATTCGTGGCCCCCTCGCTTTGTTTCGTGGCCCCTTTGCAGCCCTTCGTGGCCCCCTCTCTGCCCTTCGTGGCCCAACATACGTATGCCCTTCGTGGCTCCCGCTCGTTCGCGCTCGTTGTGGCCCCATATGCATGCGCTTCGTGGCCCCGCTGTCGCCCTTCGTGGCCCCGTTGCTGCCCTTCGTGGCCCCGTTGCTGCCCTGTGGCCCCGTCCTTGCCCTCCGCGGCCAAACATACGTATGCCCTTCGTGGCCCCCGCTCGTTCGCGCCCGTTGTGGCCCCATGTGCATGCCCTTCGTGGCCCCGCTGTCGCCGTTTGTGACCCCCTCACTGTCCTACGTGGCCCAGTTGCTACCCTCAGTGGCCCCATCGTTGCCTTCTGGGGCCCCGCATTATCTGCCCTTCGTGGCCCCCGCTCGTTCGCGCTCGTTGTGGCCCCATACGCATTCCCTTCGTGTCCCCGCTGTCGCCCTTCGTGGCCTACTTCGTGTCCTTCGTGGCCCTGCTGTCGTTCTCTCTCGCTCTCGTTTTCGCTCGTCGTCGTCATCTTCGTCGTCGTCGACGTCGTGGTCCGTCCCCTGTCCGTCCCTCTTAGGGACGGGTCGACGGTCCGCGGCCGCCCCGCCGATCAGCGCTGCCGCTGGCCAGGCCGACGGTCCGCGGCCGCCCCGCCGCTTGCGGGGGCCCGGCCTGCAGGGAAGAAATGCATACCCACCAAACGGGGTTAGATCCAAGACGAAGAGGGCCCGTATCGAGGGTTTGTGAAATACGCTTTATTGTGCAGATATGGGCGAGTTGTTGTGCGTGAGTGCGAACAGGGGGAGGGTATCCCTGGTTTCTCGGACAGGACTCGGGTGTTGGTCGAAAGACTTGCACCCTTTACGCGGCGTTCCACTTGTGCCGACAGGCAAGGCCAGCGTTGAACGTTGGGATGAGTTCGGCGATCAACTTTCCAGAATGGTGCTCAAGGGTTGGTTTGGCTCCGTCCCTCGGATAGCTTGTTGGACCTCGATCACCTCAGATGTGCCTTCAGCACGAAACCACAATAGGAGCCAGTCGCGAGAATTTGACAAAGCGGAGTCCACATTGATGTGGCATTATCGTTTGCTGGGATTTGGGGAGGTAGCGCAGCTAGCAGTCAGCTGTATGACTGTTGTTTTGTACTGCGCTGCTGGTGTCCTTGACATCATGTTTCTTTGGGTGTTGAGGGTCCTCTTTGTTGACGGCCCCCAGACCCAGCGGACACGAGCGGATGCACACTTCTCCAGTTAGACACACGGCTCCAGTGCCCCGTCGTGTTCGGAATCTCGGACAACGGGCTCTGCATCTCCCTGCGCGGGCACGGCTGGCTGGAGAGTTTCGTGAAGCAGCGCTTGGGCATGCCCGTGTTCCCTCCGCTCTCCCGTGCTGCCCCTGCTTTTCCGCCATCTTCATCCGACAGATGCCCTGGGCACCCGGTGCTAGGCCCAGGGGTGTTCCCCGGGACCGTGCTGTCATCTTGGGCAGTTGGCCGACGGTCCCAGGGCCCGTGGACGGCCCCAGGGACCCTGCGGCGCAGATGCAATTGCAGGGCCCTTCTCCCCCAGGATTCGCTTCACTCACGTGCGCCGCACCGCCGATGCCTCGGCGATGCGGCGCGAGGTGGAGTCCGATTTTCGCCACGCCCACGGCGCCGAGGCATCGCCGACATCGCCGATGCATCGCGGATGCATCGGCGGTGCATCGGCGGTGTTGCGCGATCCTCGGACCCCGTCGATTCGAAGCCAAGTCGGGAGGCCACCGGAGATGGAGGGTCAAAAGGGGAAGGAAGGCGAGCTTGGGAGAGGCAATGGGATGGGGGAGCGGAGAGGGGCAACAAAAAAAGAGAGAACAACCAAAGAGAGAAGTAGAGAGAGAGAGAGAGAGAACAAATATAAAAAGAGCGAGTCATAGACTTCGAGGCCTTGCAACAAGGCCTCAGTGTGCGCTTGCGTGGGCCCAGGTGCGCCTGCGGTGGAAGGCCTGATGGGAAGGAAGGGCAGGCAAGACGCGAGGGGAGGGGTTGCCAGGGATGAGAAGGAGGAAAGCTGGGATGAGAGAGAAAGAGAGAGAGAGAGAGAAACAAAAAAAAAAAAACGCGTGTCGTAGACTTCAGGGCCTTGCACCAGAACCTCAGTGTGTGCCTGCGTGGGCCCATGTGGGCCTGTACATCAGTGCTCGCGCGCTGCACATCGACCTACTCCCGTGTGGCCATGCCAGGGGCGCTCGGTGACACTGACCGTCCAGGAGCCAGGAAGCAGGCCCCGGCGTATCTTCCGCGGCACTCGGGATGGATTGCGCACGATTTCCCACCAGGCATACAGTCAGGAATGTTAGCTTAGCGTGTCGCGCCGCCAGTTCTGGCCCACCACGCTTTGGAGCGACACGCTATCCACGTCCTAGTCTCCGAGCGTCAGTGTCCCGAGCCTTTGCCAGCTTCCCGCCCCGCGGAGCGGAGCGACGCGCTGTCCGCTAGCGTGTCGTTGAGGCCACCGCCGCGACACGCTGAGCAGCAATTCCCGGCAGCAATGGTCTTCAGGCCGCGACACCCTAGACGCTTCGTACACCAGTGCTGCAAAGGGCGTTCTAAGAGAGAGGGCCTCGCGTTCGACGGACCTCGACGTCTCGCATTCGGCGGAGGGCTGCGGAAGACGGCGAACGCAAGGCGAGAGCGGCCCCGGCTGGCGGAAGCCGGCGGAAGGTTGGCGGTAGGTTGCCGGAAGGCGGTGCAAGCAAGAGTGGCGCCGCGTTTACGGTTGGCTGAGAAGTCTGCAGAGCTTGACGACGCACGGGGCAGCGCGCTCGCCCCAAAGAGTTGGGAGCAGAAGTCGGCCACCCAGGAGGGGTCAACGTGGAATCCACGCCAGCCAGGGTACTGTAGTACTGCGGGTGCTCGCCGAGTCGACGCGCGTGGTGGCCTTGGCGCGGGAGTTCAAGGTTGACCGCCGGCAGTGGCCAGGATTCAGCTGGCATCGAGCGATCTGCGCACGACCCGCACCGAAGTCGACGTCGTCACGACACGAGCGTGACGTATCCAAGCAGTGCCGACTTACGTCCTGTCGATCAGATTGTACGTTCGATGTCGAATCCTCCCTGCCCGATCCGATTCTGTGCCGACTCCCTGGCAGAGAACGACGCCGCACCAGCTGGCCGCCTTGGGAGAGCCTGGGCCCGAAGGTCCAGGACCGGAATCTGGAACATACGCATTGTCAGTGGCGGGCTGCTCCCAGGAATTTCGTAACGGCCGGGAGCGACGTCTGGGTGGTGTGGTGTATGGTTGTGTCCTGTTTGCCGGGGGAGCGACGAAACATGTATATACACCAGGATCTCGTATGCACCAGGATCCGCTTTCCTGGGCAGGTGTTCGTGCAGTGCCGGAAAAGGCGTCGGTGTATAGAGCTTGTCTCCCTGCGGCACCAGCGTGTCCCCGAGGACCCCCCGGTTCTTCGTGCCACGAGGGCGCCCCCCCTCGACAAGTCGGGCGGCAGGTTGGCGTCTTGCCATCGCGCCTACGGTTTATCGAAGAAGAACAAACGGCATAAACATATACTTTCGGCGCTCCGCGCCGATTTCTTGGATCCGCGCATGTGTCCCCCCAGCGGCGCCTCCAGCGCAGCCCCCGGCGCGCTCCGCGCGCCAGGGATGGGGGTCCAGCGCAGACCCACGAAATCCGCACGTATCGCCAAAAATGTATGTCTGTGCCATTTTTTCTTTTTCTGGGGTAGCAGTCTACAGTCGAGACGCTGAATCAAAGGACTCGGGGGAGGACAGAATCCCCACCCTGACACGTCGATTAGTGAATTGCTCGTCTTCGGTTCTCGAGAGGGCGCCGCGGCCGTATTTTCCAGGCTTGCACCCGCCAGGTTCTGGCCCGAGGTCGTTATCACCAAACCACGTTTTGCTAAAGGGGGTTCTGTCCATCCCCGAGATGACACAACCAAAAAGAAATCGGAGGTCCGCGCGGATTCCTCGGATCGGCGCCGGATCCCTCTCCCTGGCGCGCGGAGCGAGCCAGGGGCGGCGCCGGAGGCGCCGCCAGGGAGATCCAGCGCCGATCCGAGGAATCCGCGCGGATCTCAGAATTTTTTTGGGGTTGTATCATTCTTCTCGGGGATGGCAGAACCCCCTTTAGCAAAACGTGGTTTAGTGAAAACGACCTCGGACCCAAACCTGGCGGGCGCAAGCCTGGAAAATACGGCCGCGGCGCCCTCGCGAGAACCGCAAGCCTGGAAAATACGGCCGTGGCGCCCTCTCGAGATCCGCGGATCCGAGGGATCCGTTCATGTCATTCTTCGTTCCCCCGAGGCCAGGTGTTTTGGCATCGGCTGGTCTCGGGGCCCAGAGGGCCACGTCAGGTCCAGGCTCTGGCTCCTGGCCCGCCCCCCTTTATCAGGAGGGAGCAAAAACACACAGACACGATCCGTCGTCGAGCCCCCAGGAAAAGATGCGGGAAGGCATGGGAAGTGTGGGGGGGTGGAGAGACGACAATCCAAAACATGGTGAACAGTAGGGCGGTGTCCTGTGATTTGTGTGCATTTCTTGGTGTGTCCCTGGGCCCCTTTCACCCCACCGTGCCGTTTTCTTTTAATATAAATTCTCCGCGTGCGGGTCCTGTATGAAGAGTGCAAGGACTTGATATCAAAAACCACGACGAGTTCATGCACACATTTACTCGTACACTAGTCATGTATTATCAGGAGGGGAGAAAACACACAGACACAATTAATCGGCGATTCCCCGAAAATATGGGAAAATATGGGAAGTGGGGGGGAAGACAGAAACCCAGGAAATATGGGAAAATATTGGGGATATTTTTATTTGTGTGTATTTATGTGTGTGTCCCAGTTCCCCTTCATATTAAAGACCCCATATGTGTCAAGATCCTATGTATTGAAAACTGCCCTGTGCAGCTCGTGAGCCTGCTCGTGGCGGAGGCCGGCCGCGGCCGCAGAGCGGGAGGCCCCACCTCGGCACCCCGCGGCCGAGGCCGACCGCAGGGGCGGCCTTGGCTTCCCAAGGGGGCACCCCTGCAGGGCCTGCCTCCCACCAGCACCACAGCAGGCTGGAGGGGGAGGTGGTCCTCCTCCTCCACCTCCTCCTCCTCCTCCCTCCTCCTGCTCCTCCCTCCTCCTCCTCCTCCTCCTCCTCCTTCTCCTTGTCCTCCTCCTCCTCCTCCTCCTTCTCCTTGTCCTCCTCCTTCTCCTTGTCCTCCTCCTCCTCCTCGTCCTCCTCCTCCTTCCCCCCTCCAACTTATGGCGGTGGTGGTGGAAAACAGGCTCATTGGCCTATCAACCCTTGCGAGGCAAGGGTCATGGCGCCAACATCGAGGAGCGGATTTCGTTCGGAAAACGATGGGATGGGCCCGGAGTGTCCTGGAGAATGTCGTTCCGGATCTCGAGGTGAATTCCGTGCGGGCATTTGGCCAGGAATGAAGACTTACAACAAACAAAAACACGTGAACATCATATCGTTTTACGCTCGCCGTTTCGGGCTTTTGCATTGATAGAACTCAGAACTCAGCGCAAAAATCCGTTGGAGCACGTCTGCAAGGTCTCTGCAGCGACAAGGGTGCCCTTGGGAAATCCACCATCCTTACCGGCAAGGAAGCCGACCGCTCTTACGGACAGGGATGGCCAGCCACGCCCGCAGAGCTTCGGCATGGGCTTCCAGCGCCCTGACATCCTCATCGCGCATCCTTCCTACAGTCGGGGCGCTGGAGAAGGAACCCTTTTCGCTGGGGAGGGGCTCGGTGTTCCTTGACTGTGTTGCAGTTTGCCTTCGGTTTTCCCGAGATTCCCCATGGTAAATCAAAGTTTAATGTATGGGGGGCAGGGGCCTCGTTCCTTATTTAGGGTTCCTTAGGTCAACGCCCCGAATGTATCAGCTCTGACTGCACTCCGCGTCCCTCACGGTGGCACCGTGCCCGCAGGCCACCCGCTGGGGGTGCGAGGAGCATCGCGCCCCGCACCTCGCGGCCCGGTGTCGGAGGGCCGTCCCGCGGGGCGCGCAGTTTGAATCGAGGTGACCTATTCTGGCATGTCGCGGCCCGCGAGAGGAGTACCTCGCGGCTCACGGACCTAGAGTCAGAGGAGGAAAAGGCACCCATACCGTTACCCTTCGCCCGTTTTCCCCCCCTCTGGGGCCTCCTGGGGGGCCCTCGTCGCCACCGCTGGATTCGCCTCGGAATTCTGGTCAGAACGCACCCGGGGAGAGGTCCGAGGAGTAGCGGCATCGGTGCCTTTTGGTCGTCCCATAGACAGGTGTCTCGCCACCCGTGAGGTGACCCAGACAGGTATCTTCGCGAAGCGCGAAGTGAGCTTTCCGCGGCCCGCCAGTGGTCTCGAACTCATCTTGCCCCTGTGCGCGCGGGTGGTATTTACTCAAAGCGTGTTCCTCCCTCCGAACCTCACCTCCTGATCTCTACCAACAAGCTGGGTGTTCATGATTTGGCCAACCTGGGCGAGAGCTGGATATACACTGTGGCCACATGTCTCTCAAGCGCCTGGCCCTTGTGTGGGCCGGTACGCTGGCGCTCTGAATGTCTGTCCAGCACGTGGCGCCTTAGATGTTCCACATATGAATCCAGCCATGCTCGCCTCCGGCTCCCTTGCAGGACATGATACCTGGCCTGTTCGCTCGATCCCGCATGTCGCTCCAGCACCCCGCAGCCGGAAAAGCAACTCCGCGTTCCGGGTGCGGGCAAGATTTCTATTCACATCCATTGCGTTTCGGATGTTCTAGGCAGGGGCGCCAAGAGGCCGAGGTGCAGAGGATACGGATAAACATCTAGCCTCTAGGGGCCAAACTTTCATCCATGCCATATCCACTGCGCTTATGGCTTCTGGGCAAGGGAGCCCGAAACTCCAAGACGCAGTGGACACGGGTACAAGTTTTGCCCGCACTCGGGGGTCGTGGGGATATTCCAGCGGCGATTGTGCCTGCACAGTCCAGTCTTGGGCCTGAGCAACACAGCAGGATCCAGATGCTCACTGAGCTAGCAGGCGATGTTTCTCTCCCAATCCCAAAGTTCCGCCCGGCCGCTCAGAAAAAATGGGAAGCTCCTGGGATTTACCCATAAAAAGGGCTATTCGGACGCAGCCCTATCGAGAATACACATCGTATATACCAGGCTTGGGCCCAGAATTCCTGGTCCATTCGACACACCCAGGAAGCCTGGGATAGGGATCAACATATCCCCTGTTAATTCAGATGGTCACTGAGCACTGCCCTGTTAATTCAGATGATCACTGAGCACCCCCCCCGCCACCCCGTCGCAGATTTCGTGCGGACGGCAACAACTTGGCGTCGGTCTTCTCAGCCTCGCAGGGCGCCATCGAGCACGCACGGCGCAGAGGTCCACCAGCCTCTCCCATTCGCGGCACCTGCTGTCGTTGGTGTTGGTGCCGACCTAGACCTCCTCGAGACATGCAAACATCACGACGGGAGGTTTTTCGCTCTTTTCTGCCCCTGGGGCCCTTTCAGGGCCTCGGGACCGTCAACCAACGACTGGGGAAGAAACACCAGTCCCGGGGAAGGGGTCGAGACGTGGGCGGTAGACGTCACGATGAAAAAGTCATATGACGTCAGGGGTCTGGGAATGCTGGTGCTCATGCTGCTCACGGCACCTTGTGGTTCAGTGCCCATGGGACGCAGTTGACGGATTGCTGATGCTGCTGCAACCACGGCTCACCAAGGGCGGGTGTGGCAGGGTTTGGGGGGTCGATTACCGTTGGGGGAAGGCCAGGGAGGGCGAGGCCACCAGCTGGAGGGACGGTCGACCGAAGAGCAGGAGAGGCCGGAGGGCGTGCAACGGGAAGCGGGATGCGGGAAGCGGAGGTCCCCGTGCTGGGGCGTGAAGGACGGTAGTGAGCGCGTGCCGTGCCAAGGGAGCGAAAGAGGAGTAGAAGGAAGAGGAGGACGGCCACGGACCGTTCGGCAATCGATGCTTGCTTGGTAGGCTCCGCCCGCTCGGGAGTCTCTGTCTCGAGGCCGCTGCGCACCCGCGCGTGCGGACGAAGGCGCTGGATTCACGATCAACTCGCAGCAGCTCGCATTCACGCGTGTCGCAAGAGTGGTCGTGCTGTTGCTGGTCCACTGGCGAGCTCCTCCCCGGCAGCAGCACGAGGCAGGCGCTCGCAGAGCTCTGCCGACAGGAAGAGGGCCCCTGCCAGCGAGAGCACGCCGCGGGCGGAGGACGGGCGCCCCGGGAGAGGCCGCGGCAGGGTGGCAGGAGGAGGGCCTGCAGCACGCAAGGGAGAAGGACCCCCCACCCGCCCAGACGCCGGGGGGCGGCGCCAGGGGCACCGCGACAGGGCTCGTTTCGACACCTCCGATTCGATTCGATCCGATTTCGGTGGCTTCCGATTCCGATTCGATTCGACTGGGGATTCCGATTTGGGTTCTGATTTCTTATTGAAGGCCTACTAGCCTGTCGATTCCCGCCGATTCGACGTTTCCCGACTCGGCTGCCGATGTCCGCCGATCCGATTCATGTCGAGCGCCGATCCGACTTGTCGATTCGATTCTGCGCTCTCCTGCCGCGAAGGGGGCCCCCGCGTCGATCCAAGAAGGCCGCGCGGATCTCCGAAAGTCCAGGTTGAAGTCGTGCCTCTGTCCCTCCACAGGAGGACCACTCAAGAATGGGCAACAAAAAAGTCTGGGGGCCGTTTTTCGAGCATGTTCTGATGGCGTCGGAGAACTTGTTGCTGTCCATCGATTAATCCCCCACCTTCAAGGTGGGATTCTTGTTTTCTCTGGGCAACCTCCGCGCAGGAACCTCACCTCCCTTCCACTCTCCGCCTCACTTGCGCATTCACCCCTGTCATCGGTCCTCATCACCATCGGTCATCATCATCATCATCATCATCATCATCATCATCATCATCATCATCATCAAAATTCATCATCATCACCATCATCATCACCATCACCATCATCATACTCAGCCACTCACCATCGATCACCATCACCATCGGCCATCGGTCATCATCATCAGCAGCAGCATCATCATCAGCATCGGCATCACCACCATCGCCATCATCATCATACTCAATCGCACATCACGCACACTGTCTGTCATCACTCAGTATCATGTTCTCTGGACACCCCGCGCAGGAACTCGTCAGGCCTGAATATGGAGGAACTATCAGGCGAGAACCTCGTCTGTGCCTGAGCTGCGAGGAAGCCTCAGGCGGGAGCCCCCTCCCTCTGGTGGCCTCAGCTCATGTTGGTAATCCGAGCGGGTCATCCTCATCCGTGTAACTGTCGTTACTTTTTGGCTCCTGAGGCTTGAATATGGGAGCAGTATCAGGCGGGAGCCTCGTTTGTGAGTGAACTGCGAGGAAGTCTCAGGCGGGAGCCCCCTCCTTATGGGGCCCGAGGAAGTCTCCATCGGGAGCCCCCTCCCTATGGAGCCCGCAGCTCATGTTGGTAATTCGAGCGGGTCATCCTCGTCCGTGTAATTGTCGTCTTTTTGGGGCTCCTGAGGCTTGCATGTGGAGGAAATATCAGGCGAGAACCTCGTCTGTGCCTGAATTGTGAGGAAGTCTCAGGCGGGAGCCCCCTGCATATGGTGCCCGCAGCTCATGTTGGTAATCCGAGGCGGGTCATCAGAATCCTGTAACTGTCGTCGCTTTTTGGGCTCCTGGGGCTTGAATATGGGGGAAGTATCAGGCGGGAGCCTCGTTTGTGAGTGAATTGCAAGGAAGTCTCAGGCGGGAGCTCCCTCCCTATGGGGCTCGCAACTCCCGTGCTTCCTCTGGGTCGTCCTCTGGGACGTCCTCCACCGCGCGCTTCCTCTGGGTCGTCCTCCGGCGCGTATCTCTTGGGACGCACGTCGTGCGCTTCCTCTGGGTCGTGCCCCGCACGGGGGAGGAGGAGGAGGAGGAGGAGGAGGAGGACGAAGGAGGAAGGAGGAAGGAGGAAGGAGGATGCAGGACGAGAAAGATACGGAAGAGGAGGAGGAGGCAGAGGGCGAGAAGGACGAGGAGGACAAGGAGGAGAAGGAGGAGGAGGAGGAGGAGGCCGCAGGATGTCCCGGGAGGCCCAGAAGGCCCCACGAGGCCCCACGAGGCCCCAGGAGGAGGCAGGAGGCCTAAGGAGGAGGCAGGAGGAGGAGGAGGGAGAGGAGGAGGGGGAGGAAGATGGAGACGAGGAAGAGTAGGCGGAGGAGGGAGGGAGAGGAGCAGGCGGGAGAGGGGAGGAGGAAGAGGAGGAGGAGGAAGAGGAGGAGGAGGAGGAGGGAGAAGGAAAGCAGGAGGAGAGGAGGAGGAGGAGGAGGACGCAGGAGGCAGGAGGGACAGGGAGGAGGAGGAGGCAGGGGTTGAGGTAGGAGGAGGTGCAGGCAGGATCAGGCAGGAGGAGAAGGCTGAAGCAGGAGTAGGTGGGAGAAGGGAGGGGGCAGCAGGAGATCCCCAGGCAAGCTGAACAGATTCTCGTGCGGGGTCTGAACGTCGGAGGAATCGTTCCTCTTCCAAACGCCGCCGCCTGCAGGGGGACGTGCCCGACCCAAGCCTCGGCTTTGTGCACTCTCTGCTCCTCGGCATGCGGGGCCCTCCTCCTCGGAGGCCCTTGCCAAAGAGTGCCCGTGCCTCTCGCTGCTCCTCCCGCTCTTCCTCGTTCCCCCGCCACCCTTCCTATGGGGAGCGAAGAGTGCCATAAACACAAAGACTCGGAGGTTATCCCTCCATCCCTTACTGGGGGGCGAAGAATGCCATAAACATGAAAACTCGGAGGTTCGCGCAGATTTCTCGGATCCGCGCTGGACCCCCCTGGCGGCGCCTCCGGCGCCGCCCCTGGCGCGCTCCGCGCGCCAGGGAGGGAGGTCCAACGCCGGTCCGAGGAATCCGCGCGGACCTCTCAGGTTTTGTGTTTATGACATTCTTCGTTCCCCTACTTAACGTGTCTCTTCTGCCATACCGCATGACGCCTCACTACTTCACCGCTGCAACGTCTGTTGCATGCTTGTCGAGGGAGCAAAAACCACCCGGACCGGACAATGGGCGTTTACTAAACGGCCCTGGGCGTTTTCTAAACAGCAGTGCCCTGCTCGATTCCTTCTTGGGGCGCGTGTGCTGAGAGACTTCGCGCGTCGGGGTGGTCATCATTTTGGGGGGGATCCTTCGACTCCTGACCTGGTCTCTCCCGGCGCATTCGCGTCCAGTGCCGTTTTTGATACATGCTCCGCGTGCGGATCATGTATTAAAAATGCAGGGTTTAGTATCGAAAGCAACGAGGAGTTTAGGCAGACATTCATTCCTCAATTAAGCATGCATCAAAATCTTGAATGCTTAAAATCCTGTGTCTTAAGAACTGCCCTGTACCCTTTGGAGCTGCCCCGCTGGACGGCTCTTCGGCCGCCGCTCCCGCTCCCGCGCCGCTCCCGCGCCGCTCCGGCGCCGCGCAGGCGCGCCCGCCGCCGTGCTCTTCGGGGGCCTCTCCCGGCGCTTCGGCCACGCGGCGACCGACAGGCGCCTCGGCCAGGGCGGGGCCCCCCCTGGCGGCCGCGCGGCCACTTACCAGCCTCGAGCTCACCCCTTTGGACGCCCGAAATGGGTACGGAAAGAATGGGTACAATGCCCAACAGCAGTTCCTGTTCATTCTGAACGGGACTCGCTGTCGGTGTCGCCGCGGCCTGTGTCCATTTGAGACAGAAGGCCGCCTGCCCAACAGCGGCCGCTGTTGGTTTGGGACAACATTTGATGTTGGGCTTTGGACCCATTCTTTCCGTACCCATTTCGGGCGTCCAAAACCCCCTATCCCCAAGATGGGCACGGCAAAAGGCGATGGCAATCTCAGGGGCGCGCCTTCAACAGGTAAGCGAATCATTGAGATTGGCATCGTGATGAGGAGATGCCCAGCATAGGGATAGGGATGTGATCCAGGCTGGTAAGCCACCCGTCGGTGGGCCCAGCGCCCGTGCTCGTCCCTCGGCCCAGCGCTCGTTCGGGCAGGGCCGGCCCGAAGTCGCGGCGCAGGGTCTCCTCTTTGCTGTTGGGCCAGCGAGGGCCCATCGCCGGGCCTCGGGGCCGTGAAGCGCGGCTCGGTCTGGAAGGGCAGTGCCGCGGACGGGGTCGAGACCTCTGGGGATCGGCATGGTGCAAGAATCCGGACGTTTGGGGTCTGGGACATCAGCAGCCCCATCCCCAACGGGCCATCGTGTCTCAGCCGATTCCCCCCATCCGTTCGATGTCTGTTACTGGGAGCCTTGGGCGGCGGCGTTGCAGTCAGCTTGTTTTGCGTGTGGACTGCATTCGGCCCATGCCCCTGCTCCTCCTCGCCCTTCCTGTTACCCCTCTCCCTCCTCGTTCTTCTCGCCTCTTCTTGTCAAGGGCCAAATCCAGTCCAACTCTGGTCCAAATCCGGTCCCACATCAGGTCCAAATCCGGCTCAAATCAGGCCCGACTCTGACAGCGGCGGGGGCCACGTATTTTCCTACTGAACGGACACCAAACATCTTCTTTGCGTGGCATCAGACCTCGAACCAAACCTGCGGGTCGGTTTTGGAGGTCGCCGCGCGATCTCGGCGGCCGCCAATCGGGACAAGGCCTTTGTCAAGGAGTGGCAAGCCGCTTCCCCCCCCGCTCTGCGACGTAGGCGTGGCTCATAGCTGCTAATATCTAGCGACAGAGAGTTGTCAATCTATGTTCAATATGGGCAGTCATGTTGTTTTGGTTAGGTGTCGATTGCCACTCAATCGCATCCGCCCACCCGAGGCGCGTGCGCACCAGGTATCGGGCGCAAAGCTGCCTGTCGAGTGGCTTCGGGCAAACGTATTGTCGAGCGGCTTTTCGAACGCAGGTTTTCGTAGCGACGGTGCGCACCATCAGGCTCTCTTTGGGACTCGGGGTTGAAACGAATAATACGCAGGCTCCACTGGGTTTCGCTCACGCCCTCCCTAGGAGCGACAGCTGGCAATCGAGAACGACGAGGTGCAATGTCGCGCTCAGTTTGGCACCCTCTTAGGTGTTCACCGCAGAGGCCCCGGGATATTCCCAAGTTGTGGGCGACTCCAAGCTCAGCGATAGATGGCCTCCAGCTGCAGTATATGCTCGATTCGGATGTTTTCGAGCCCCAGGTCAGGGCAGGGACTGCTGCCAGGACACCCGCTTCTTCGCACCTCAGTGCTCATGCAAGGGCGCAGGCAGAGCAGGACACTGGAAGGAGGAGGAGGAGGGGAAACAAACACACAGACACAATGAATCATCGATTCCCCGGAAAATATAGGAAAATATGGGAAGTGGGGGGGGGGAATACGATAACCCAGAAAATATGGGAACATATGGGGAATCCTGTTATTTGTGTGTCTGTATTTGTGTGTCCCAGGGCCCCTTCAGAGGAGGAGGATTGCGACGACAACGATCGACCGACGACAAAATATGTGCGACGCGATGCATCGAGGGGGGTGGAGGAGGAGGAGGAGGAGGAGGAGGAGGAGGAGGAGGAGGAGGAGGAGGAGGAGGAGGAGGCGGCGGGGGGGGGAGGAGGAGGAGGAGGAGGAGGAGGAGGAGGAGGAGGAGGAGGAGGAGGGAGGAGGAGGAGGAGGAAGGAGGAGGAGGAGGAGGAGGAGAGGAGGAGGAGGAGGAGGAGGAGAGGAGGAGGAGGAGGAGGAGGAGGAGGAGGAGGAGGAGGAGGAGGAGGAGGAGGAGGGGGAGGGCGAGGGGAGGGGGGGGGGAGGGGGGGGAGGGGGAGGGGGAGGGGGAGGGGAGGAGGAGGAGGAGGAGGAGGAGGAGGAGGAGGAGGAGGAGGAGGAGGAGGAGGAGGAGGAGGAGGAGGAGGAGGAGGAGGAGGAGGGGAGGAGGAGGAGAGGAGGTTGGGGAGGGGGAGGAGGAGGAGGAGGAGGAGGAGGAGGAGGGAGGAGGAGGAGGAGGAGGAGGAGGAGGAGGAGGATCAGTGTAAACTCAAGAGTCATCAACGATGTCGGAATTGACCCTCCCTCTCCCTTTCTTCCTGCCTGGCAGGTCACCGTCCAGAGTACAGTCATGTTGGCCATGTGTCGTATCACCGCCCTTTTGCTGATGCGCTATTTCCCGCCACTGGACTCTGGCAGAGACAGTGTGGCCTCTGCGGGCTCGGGCGAGAAGACGAAAGACAGCACTACGGCTGGGGTCGAAGACGATCCGCCAGACACCATTTCTACCTCAGAGATGCTCAAGCAGTATCCCGTTCTGTACCGCCTGATTACATTCGAGAGTTTATCGGGAACTCTCCGCGTCATGTTTCTCAGCATTTTCTCTGCGGTGTGCGTCCTGAACCTCCGCGTGGGGCCGATTCTACTTGCCCTTACCATCTGCGCTACGCTTCTGGTCTTCATCTTGCAAATATCGCCGTGTCACTGGAGAGCTTCGGCTTTGGGACGGAGAACGGCATGAGCCGCATCAAGATTGTGAGTTGCAGCTTTATGGTGGCGGGGCTGGGCTCGGCTGGAGTTTGTGTTGCGGCATCGACATTCGAGAAGACAGCCGAGGAGACAGAGTCCATCACGGAGAAGCCTGTCTTGTTCGGTGCCCTTGTTTGTCCATGCTAATTTTCTGTAGTGGTGCAGCAGTGGCGGAAACGGTATTTAGAAGCATCGTCCTAAGGCAGTGATCAGTTGCCGCCAATGTGGTTCTTCGACTCACAGTCCGTGAGTCTCTCTTTCTTACACTATCAGACTTTAATTAGTTTGCTGCAGTCATGGGACAGTCGCCCACTGACAGCGAGACCGATTGGAACTGAGGACACGTGTATGATTCCCAGGTTGTGAACTCGCTTTCTAGTATTGCCATGCCGACGAAAATGCAGGGGGGCTCGATCGGGATTCTATACGCAACTTGGAGTGCAGGTGCCGTCGTGTGTCCTGTGCTCATCGGAGTGCTGACAGATGCGGGAGGAGTGCTAGCTGCTGGAGCGCTGCTGGTGGTTCTCGCAGCTGGAGCTGCTATTGTGGTCGCGCTCCTTGAAGGAGACGTGAGGGTGGCCGTTACCTCGGAGACGCATTTGGGCGCTAGTGTGCCAGTGTGACTTAGAGAGAGAGGTCACACGTCGTCGTCTTTTCGTTGGGCAATGGTACGCTGTGCATCTTTCCTTTTAACAAGGAAGGTGGAGCCCGGAATCGTCGTGAGACCAGACTGGGAGAAATGCCTCAGAGTCATGGGCGAGCGGGTGGAGTCCCGCAAAACGGCTCGAACCGCATCGGGGTAGACATCTATCTACCTATATATATATATATGTAATTATGATGTCGTGTTTTCCCATGATTAGCACGGACAGCTAGACGGCAAGACGTGTCGAACCCTTAGCAGGGTAATGCCTACCTACCCACTGTAAAGTTCCAGTGCCCAAGGAGGTTGACGGACACTGTTCATTAATGCGGGTCAGCGCTGCGGAAGAAGGGCATGCTCGTCACGGGCACATTGGTCGAACCCGACCCGGAGTCGGGTGAGGAGAATGTGTGGATGTTCGCGGCCGCCTTTTTTCTTTTAGCGGCGAAAAACTAGTTCTCCAGGTGCAATACAAAGAGATGGACAGGCGGAAACAGTGTCTGGGCTTGAACAAACCCAGACCGAGCCTATTCCAGCCGTGACCTTCAGTGCATGGGAAGCTCGACAAGATGAAGGAAGCGATGAAGGGCACCCTCTGACGTTCAAGCCTCCTTGATGTGTGTAGCCGTTTCGAGTCGTATTACTATTTCGTAAGATTCTGATATGTCTCAGGTTGAACTCACTTTTACTTACTTGTTTCCCAACCCTCCTTGGTTGGGTATTCGTTTTGAATTGAATCAGGGACTGTGGTCTCCACCTTCCTTCCTCCCGCCTCCCTCCTGTCTTGCCTGCGGGGGGCTGCGATCAGTGAAACTGTCGCCACGTTCGAGGCCTGCTGGGGGGCCCAGCACAGTGACGCCACGCGCGGATCCAAATTAGACCTCGCCATCCCTGGGGGGCTGCGAATTGCGAAACTGTCGCCACTTTCGAGGCCTGCTGGGGGGCCCAGCACAGTGACGCCACGCGCGGGCCCAAGTTAGACATCGCCACCCCTGGGGGGCTGCGATCTGTGAAACTGTCGCCTCTTTCGAGGGCTGCTGGGGTCCCAGCACAGTGACGCCACGCGCGGACCCAAATTAGACCTCGCCATTCCTGGGGGGCTGCGATCAGTGAAACTGTCGCCACTTTCGAGGCATGCTGGGGGGGCCAGCGCAGTGACGCCACGCGCGGACCTAAATTAGACATCGCCATCCCTGGGGGGCTGCGATCTGTGAAACCGTCGCCACTTTCGAGGGCTGCTGGGGTCCCAGCACAGTGACGCCACGCGCGGACCCAAACTAGACCTCGCCGTCCCTGGGGTGCTGCGATCAGTGAAACTGTCGCCACTTTCGAGGCCTGCTGGGGGGGCCAGCACAGTGAGGCCACACGCGCAGATCTGAGCGAGACCTCGCCACCCTTGGGGGGCTGCGATCTGTGAATCTGTCGCCACTTTCGAGGACTGATGGTGG